GGGCATAAGAAAGGGCTTGAGCTTGGCTTTGGTTCTTTCCATCTCTTTCTGCTGGTGTGAACTTAGCCATAGTGCCTTGAACTTCTGGGGCCCGGAACATGGCTCTGGGCAGGGAACAACCTCAAATCTGTGAGGAGAGAGAGACCAGCTCAGGAGACTGATCTCAGGGGTCAAATCTGCCAGAGATTGTAAAGGTAGTCCCTTTATTGTAAGGTATAGAGGTGGGGGCCCCACAGAGGGAAGAGGAAGCATCAGGACAAGAAAGAGCACCCCTTGCCCAGCTGGTGTGGCTCAGTGGTTGAGCGCTGACCCATGCACCAAGAGGTCACTGGTTTGATTCCTGGTTTGGGCACATGCGCAGAGTGTGGGCCCAATCCCCAGTGGGACCATGCAGGAGGCTGCCAATCGATGTTCTCTCTCATCAATGTTTCTCTCTCTCTCTCTCTCTCTCTCTCTCTCTCATCAATAAAGAAACAAAGAAAGAAAGACAGAGCACCCTGGGCCTAGGGTGAACACTGGGAGAGGAGAACATGCCCAGATGGGTCACTGTGTGTGGCTTCCTTATCCAAATACATCTCTCCAAGAGAAACCAGTACGGGTCACATTAATGGCCACAGCTGCCACAGTAGGTCAGCTTGTGTTGAAGGGGGCAGTGCCAGTACTGGGCATTGAATCAGGAGGACTGCAGGCTGAGGGTTCATGGAGGAATCTCAGCTACTCAGGGTCAGCTGTTCATTAGCCCTTCCTCCTGGATTTAAGTCATAGGGCAGTGGCCTAAATTCACACCCACCAGGTACACCTACCTGGTCTCAGGATCTGCCTCTGGAAGGCTAGAGGCAGGAGGTGGGAGGAGCTGGCTTCTGCTTAGGTCTGCCCCAAGGAGCATGCAGCCCAAGAGTTGACAGGCCCAGCCTCACCTGACCACATCCCTGAAAGTGTGCCAGTTGTCCTTGTCCAGCCACAGTGTCAGCAGCCTCTGGTCCTGGCTCTGGATCTGGATGCTGGCCGTCCGGAAGGTGTTTGTCACGGTCTGCAACAAAGAGACAGCTCATGCATCACCTTTGTGACAGATGGCCCTGCCAATTTCTCCTACCCTGAACTCCGGTGTGTTTCTTCCGTCCAGTGCAGGAGGTCTCTGGCTTTCTTTCTGTAAGTGACTCAGAGCAGTGACAATCCTGTAGGAACTGCTTCTAGGCTGCTCTCATCCCTGGGGGTCTCAGTGTTCTGCAGTTCTTTCCAAATCTGTCATCCTCTGAACACAACCTGGGATGCCGTGGCTAGTGCTTGCCAGGTTATCAAGTTACCCAAGCACCTCCTATATGACAGGCATGCTATGGGTGGGATTTTCTGTCCTGACCCCAGCACTGTGTTGGATTACATACAAAATTATTTACCAGGGACAGAGGGTCTAGAAAGAGGCCACCTACCCGCCATGACTCAGATCAGACCTTATCAGTTTGTAACATGGAATTGTCTGGGGGCCAGAGGTGGGTGCAAGGAATCAACCCTCCGCATGGAGAACCTGACCCAAGGTGTTCCAGCCTTGCACACCCCACAGCCCTACATGGCTTCTCTAGAAAGTACCCAGGGCCAAAGGAAAGCAGCCCCCAGGCACCTCACTTACCCCCGATCTGAGGGGGCCACTCGGAGAGGACCTCTCCCACTGGGCAGAGACTTGGAACAGCCTGGGTTACAGGTGGGGCATCAGAGGCCCTTCCCAGGTCACTGGCCCAGCCCACATGCAGACAGTAGCTTTGGGTGATTCACCAGCACAAAACACTCGAGGTGCTAGAGTCTTGGAGTCGATCTTGTCCAAGTGTTCTCAACCCTGGCTGCTGGCAAGAACCATCGCTCAAAGCATAAAATTAGAGATTCTGATTTAAATGGTCTGGAGTCCACCCAGGCACAGGCATTTATAAAAATCCTTACCAAAGATATGGGTTTTTTTTTTTTATTGAGTTTTAGGGCAGGGGGAGGAAGAGAGGGAGAGGCAGAGGGAGAGGCAGAGGGAGAGGGAGAGGGAGAGGGAGAGGAGAGGGAGAGGGAGAGGGAGAGGGAGAGGGAGAGGGAGAGGGAGGGAGAGGGAGAGGGAGAGGGAGAGGAGAGGGAGACATTGTATGTGCCCCGACTGAGGATTGAACCCACAACCCAGGTATATGCCAACTGGGAATTGAACCTGCAACACTTTGGTGTATGGACGATGCTCCAATCAACTGAGCCATCCAGCCAGGGCCAGGCATGAGCATTGTTAGAAAAGCTTCCTATTGTAGGCATGGCTGAGAACCACTGAGCAACCTGCCTTTTCATTGTCGTAGAGCAGAGGCACCAGCAGCAGCGTAAATGGGGGTCAAGCATGTCCTGGCATCTCATCTGCAGTTTTGTGGGGTGGGGATAGGCCAGCCAGAAATCTATGGGCAGAGTGTGCAAGAATCTCACAGGAGGGTTACAGCTAGACCTCCTGGGTTCTAACGCTGGCTCTGCCACGTACTAGCTGTGTGACTTTGGGTATATTTCTTAATCTCTTTGTGCTTTTGATTCTCACTTGTTTAGGAAAAAATATGGCAATGATAGCAACTACTTTGTAGGACTGTTGTGAAGAGTAAGGACAGTATGTATGACATCCTGGCTGGTGTATAGAGCTTCTGCCTGTCCACTGAAGGGTCACAGGTTTGATTCCAGGTCAAAGGTATTTTCCTGGGTTGCAGACTTGATCCCTGGGCCCTGGTTGGAGAGCATGTGGGAGGCAACTAATCAAGTCTCTTTCACATTGATGTTTCTCTCTCTCTCTCTCTCTCTCTCTCTCTCTCTCTCTCTCTCTCTCTCTCTCCCTTCCTTCTCTCCCTTCCATTCTTTATAAAAATCAGTGGAAAAAATATCCTCAGGTGAGAATTAGCAAATAAACAAACAAACAAAAGACAATATATGCTAAGCTTCTGGGACATAGTAAGCACTGTATTAGTGCTGGTTGTTTATTATTATTAATTATACTTTTTTAAGAAGGAGCTAGGCATAAATGATGGCCTCAGCTGTCAGAGGAGAAGGGGAACCCACTGTGGATTCTTCCACCCTCAGCCTGTCTCCTAGCCCAGCCCCCTTCTACCATCACTCTGTAGACTCCTGTGAATCTGAACAGGTGGGCTGTAAGTAAAGACCAGGTTTACCCAAATCCTTCTAAGACAGAGGGTAACACCGAGGGAGAGGGGCTTCTCCCTGCTATGCGACAGAACCTGCGGCTGCCGTTGGTACCCTGGCCTCTCAGTCATGGCGGGAAGGTGTGGCCTGGGGGTTGGGGGAGAAGCAGTGGAACCTGGTGGACTCTGACCAGACAGCCAGCTGGATGACTGTGAACACTCAGATGTCATCCAAGACCTTCCAGAAACCCCTGGAAAGACAGCAGGGAGGCTGAAGTCCTGGTGAGCTGGGGGCTGGGGGAAAGCCAGGGGCATTCAGGTTAGGACATGGGTGGTCCCCCACCTGAACTGACCTAGCTGGTGAGGGAAACTCACGGTTTCCACAGAAGGGCAGGCAGAGGTTTGGAGGGATTGACTGACCCAGTGCAGGGCTCAGAGTGGTAGGTGTGAGACCAGCTCCCTGACTCTGTGTTCATGCATCAGGCTGCTCTATGTCTGCTGGCAGGACCTCAGCCCTGTCCCCTAGATAACCAGGGGCAGACTGAGCGTTCACCACGTGCCCACAATGCAGGCAGATGCCTTCGTTTCCCCTTGGTGGTCTGCTGTCCTAGACACACCCAACCTGCCTGGCTTTGGGTCGCAGGAGTCTTGCATTTCAATCTATAAATGTGGCCGTGAAGGTCAGTTGAAGGGACCAGATGCAGAATTTGCAAGGTGTCCCAGTCTTAGCTCATGAGGGGAAGAGCAAACTGTGGCCAGTTTTCCCCTGCCTTCTACACCACAAAGGCAAAATTGTACCATTCTTCACTAATTTTCTAAATCAAAATTCCAATCCAGCCTAAATAATGTCATTGCTGCCCCCTTAAACTCACAAAGCCACAGTGCCTGAGACCCGCTCTTCTTGAAGCCCGGAATACCTCACCCTGGCTCACCGTGAACTTCCCTGGGCTTAGTGTTTATCTCCTGACCCATTTGTGCAGAACACACACATGCACCTGCCGGGTTGGAACGGGAAAGCACAGCTACTGGGATTTCCCCCAGCAAGTCGGTGCAGGAGTCAAAGGGAACTCACTGGGGCAATACTTTTAGATTTGCAAAAAGCCCACAACCAGGTCGTTTAAATAGGTCATTAAAAACAGAAAGCATGGCAAGAAACTGACTTCAAGAGAGGAAAGACACAAGGGTAAATGGGTCCACCTTGGAGCTTAAAGGTTAAGTATAGAGCTGTCCCGTAGGAAGGAAGATTTCAGCTCAGCGCAGTAGGTCTCTTAGCCAATCATGCTCTCCTGCAGTGCATAGGCTTCCTCAGGAAAAGTGGGCTTCTGTTTGGGATAGATCTTGTCGTGGCGAAGGAAGGACTAGCTGACCCAGCAGACATCTGGTGTGGGCCAGACATCATGCTGTGTGCTGGGGAGCACAGGGAGGACAAGGGCCTGAGTGTAGGGCGCTGACGTCCACTGACACAAAGATCATGTCACCTGTGGTGTTGTGAGTGCTTCTATGGCTGTGACCCTGAGGCTTCACGGGAGCACAGAGGTGGGACATCTAGCTCACCGGGGAGTGGAGAGAAGGGTAGGGGGGAGAATGAGGAGGGAAGGGGGAAGAACATCAGGGAGGGGCACCAGGAAGAGTTGACACCTGGGTTTCATCTCAAAGGAGAAACCAGAGTTATGAAAGGAAGATGGGGAAGAGAAGGGAGGATTGTGGTTTCAGGCCAAGCAAAGCCATGAACCAAGGCCCAGGGGCGTGTCTGCCAGGACTCTTCCAACTACCGTGGTGTAAAGGGCCTGCAGGGGTGGCCGGAGCTGTGGAGGGAGAGGAAGAGGAGCCAAGCTGTGCGAGACTGAAGAGTTTCTCTGTCCTTCTGCCATGGAGAACGAGAAACAGCGGAGGGTTGTAAGCACTAAGTGACATGTCCAAGTTCTGTTTTAGAAAGATCACTTGGGCAGAGAGATGTGGAAGGTGGACCTAAGGAATGAGGGAGACATCAAGGAAACCAGCTGGGAGGCGATTGAATTTGTCCAAAAAAGGGGATGGATGAAGGTCTGGACCGAGGGCAAACAACTTGTCCTGGTTTGCCTGGGATTGTTCTGATTTTAGCTGGAAGTCCCATGTCCCAGGAAACCACCTAGTTCTGGGAAAATTAGGCTGGTTGGTCAGCCTGGCTGGACCCGAAGGAGGAGGATGAAGAGGAAGGGAGAGGTTGAGAAGTGTTTGAGAGAGAAAAGCTGCAGACACAGGAAAGTGAGGAAGAGGGGACATCTGAGATGACGTCCAGATTTGTGGCAGAGGTGACTGCTTAATGAGGGCAGCATTAAATGACAGTCAGAACACAGGGCAGGAGGGGAGGAAATAAAACAGTTGCTAACACATACATAGCTCTGATTTGGCCAAGCACCCCTCCCAGAGCTTTACATGTCGCAACCATTTCATCCCAACTACATAAGGTAGTGGTTGTTTTATCCCCATTTCATAGAAAATGATACTGAGGCCCAGAGAGCTTGAGTAACTTAGCTGGTAAATGTCACAGCCAAGATCTTAACCCAGTCGGTCTCGCTGTAGAGAATTCTTAACTTGAGAAAGCACTGGCTTTGGTTTTGAATATCTTGAGTTTGGGGGACTGTGGGACATTCAGCTCCTGCTAATTTAGTTGAACGCAGAGTCAGGAACTCAAGGGGTGCATGGCGGGGCAGCACATGTAGATTTGGCTGTCCTCAACAAATTGGACTAAAACTGTGTAAGTGGGTTTGCTCGCCCAGGGAATGAGAAAAAAAAAAAACTGGGCCATGGGAGAAGCAGAGAACAGTAGCTATTTAAGGAACTGGTTTAGGAAAAAGAGTCCAGGGAACGAGGCCAGAAAGTAACAATCAGACATCTAGAAGAAGAACTATGAGAGTGGTGTCTCAGAACTCACAGATTTAGGGAGTTTGAAGACTCAGAGAACAGGGCTTCAGTTCTAGTGGTGGAAGTCATTCAAAACTGATCAAAGAACAGAAATCTAGGGAAAAACACTTACGACAGTGTTGCAAGCCAACTTTATTGGAGTATAACATATAAATATAATTTCAAATACATTTTCATTTTATTAAGATTTTTTCTTTATTTATTTTAGAAAGAGGGGAAGAGAGAGAGAGAAACATCAGTGAGAGAGAACATCAATTGGCTGCTTCCTGCATGCCCCCCACTGGGGATTTGGCCCACAACATGGGCATGTGCCCTGACCAGAAATTGAACTGGAGACCTCTTGGTGTATAACTTGATGCTCAACTACTGAGCCACATTGGCTGGGCTAATATATTTTCATTTTAAAGATAACCACTAATAGAAAAAAAGAAGCCCTGGCCAGTTTGGCTCAACGATTAGAATGTCAGCCTGCTGACCAAAGAATCGCAGGTTTGATTCCTGGTCAAGGGTACATGCTTGGGTTGCAGGTTTGATCCCCAGCCCTAGTGGAAGTCATGCAGGAGGCAACTAATCAATGTGTCTCTCGCATCAGTGTTTCCCTCTCCCACTTTCTGTCTCTCTCTCTCGGAAAAAAAAGTAGTATATATAAATTTCAAAATACCACATAGCCCTGGTTGGTGTGGTTCAGTGGTTAGGGTGCTGATCCGAGGACCAAAAGGTTGCAGGCTTGATTCTGCACAAACTCGTGCATGAGTTACAAGTTTGATCCCTGGCCCTGGTCTGGCACATGTGGGAGGCAACCCATGGATATGTCTCTCTCACATGGATGTTTCGCTCTCTCTCTCTACCCCCCTCCCTTCCTGCCTTCTACTCTTTCTAAAAATCAATAGAAAAAATACCCTCAAGTGAGGATTAACAAAGTACAAATCAAAACAAAACAAAAAAAACCTGAGCTCAAAGAAACATTAAACAAACAAACAAAAAACAGCAGAAAGCATTTAAGAAACCCACAAAATACGACATAAGATGACAGCTTATATTAGTGTCAAAATAGCATATAAAGTTAGTATTGATGTATTAAACACTCATTTGTCAAAAAACAAAGGTTTTAGACTGAGTCAATAAAATCAAATTATATGCTAGGAGGCATAGCTAAAATAAAATGCTTTAAAAATAAAGGGATAAAGATTTCTATTTCAAAATGGCAGAATGTACATTTTCTTATTCTTTTCCTCTAAAAATTCTTATCAAAACAAGGAGGCACATATTGAATGGAACTAGAAGACACCTAGTGCCCTAAAGTACAATATTTGAGCACAGAGAGAGGACGTTCAAACATAAGGATCAAAACGTGAGAAAGGCTTGTGAGCTGGGGGCCACAGGTTCCAGGAAGGTTGGAATAAGAGAGAGCCTGAAAAAAGGGAATCGACTGAAGGTTGAGTGAGAAACAGATGGCTTCAGTTACCCATTCCCACCCTCGGCAGCCAAGCAATGAGCCCGCCCCTGCCACAGAGACCAGAGAAACTGGACCAGAAAGACCCAGGACTTGGGGACACCAGATCTGGAGGAGGATGGAATGAAGTGCTGTACTCCATCAGGGAGATGACAGCAATGTGTGCTCACCGAACAGGAGAGCCTATGCCCCTCCCTCCACCCAGTTTCAGCGTACAGACACCACGGTCCAGTACCACCCCCTCGCTCCCCAAGGCAGGAGCGTGAAGGACACTTTTCTGAAATAATGACACAGGCCTAGCCAAGAGACTTGCAGATACTGACATTTGGGTTTCCCCCATGGAAAGGACCATGACTGCCCATCGAGAAGCCCACCACTGACTCAGCTTTTTAGTGCCCCTCTCTTAAATGTGAACAGACAGCCAAGGATCACCAGGTATTTGGAGACAGCCTCTAAGATTTAAAAAAGAAAAACGAGGAAGACCAAAACAAGCAAACGGAGAATAGAAGTTTAGAGGGAAAAAACACAATGCAGGGAGCAGAAGAAAACTTCAAATAAATAATAATTACTACCCTTAGAGAGATAAAAGAAGGTACTGCGTTGCCCAGCCGGTGTGGCTCAGGGGATTGAGCATCGTCCCCTGCCTCAAGAGGTCACTGGTTTGATTCCTGGTCAGTGCATGAAGTAGTGGAGGTGTGGGAGGTGGGGGAATGTGGGAGGCAGCCGATCGGTATGTCCATGTTCCCCTCTCATTGATGTTTCTATTTCTTTCTCTCTCCTTATTAAAAAAAATATTTAAAAAATAAAATAAAGATCCTGAATCAATGAAGCAAGAATACAATGCTATTAAAATGCATAACCAGAATACGATAAAGATTCTTGAGGTTTAAACACTCAATAAATTCGTTTGAAGAAAGCTCCCAAAACTTGAAGAAAAGAAAGAGAAAGACGATGGGAGAGAAAAGATTAGAAAATTCGAGGATCACTCTAGGAGGCCTAATATCTAGGAGGCCTAATGAGTATTTATAGTTCAGAAATAGCAAAGATACAGGAAATAATTTTAAAAACTGTAGGAGAAAATATCTCAGAGCCAGAGCATGTGAGTCTCCAGATTTGGACTGTCGAGAGAGTCTCGTACAAAAACTGGACATCAGAAGCCACCACAGTGGCGGTATCAGAAACTAGAAGAACATCCAGGTTCAAACCAAGATGGAATTGACAAAACCGTAGCAGGAATGTTGACAAACCTCTCTCAATTTTGGATAGATGAGGTGGGCAAAAAATTTTAAACGTTGTAGGTTAGAGTAATATGATACATTCAATTTAATAATTAAACGTAGTTTGTATTCTGTAGATACAAAACACACGCATACTTTTTAGTTGTTTAGGACATTAAAAAATCGATCATGTACCAGGAATTGAAGAAAATATCAACAATTTCCAAAGTTGTAGTCATGTGGAGAGATGCTTTTGCTATCCTGGGGCATTTGCTAATCTCAGAGATTGAGGGGCTTGGATTTCAACAGCCATGGGGAAGGAGACAAAGCCTTGGGCCCACAAGATCCAGGGATTTGAAACCAAGACTTCTTGGAGGACTCCTGAGGACTCTAGTCTCCGTGCAAGATTCAACTAGGAAAAAGGCCCGGGGGTCAGTGGGAGGTCACGGGGAGGCTTGTCTGCCATGGCTTGTGCTATGAAGAGCCTCCCCTAGAAATTCTTGGCCACAAACCTGTTCTTAAGTGGATTTGGGGTACACATTTATGCCATCTGCACGGTCTGGGAATTTATGAGCCAAAAATTTAACTTGAAATATGGTCCTGGACTAGTAATGTCATTGGGGCACTTGGTAAGAGCAAATACAGAATTCCCCTACAAGGGCAAGATTTCCACCCAGGTTTCCCACAGATGAAGACCCCAACAACAAGACAAGTAATAACAAGTGCTAGAGAGGTTGTCAAAAAAAGGAAACCTTCACTCACTGCTGTTGGAATGCAGGCTGGTACAGCCACTGTGGAATATAGTCTGGCGAGTCCTCAAAAAAGAATAGAGCTACCATACGACCCAGCAATCCCTCTCCTGGCATATACCCCCAAAAGCTCAAAAACATGTATCCACAAAGATGTGTGCACCCCCACGTTCATTGCAACGTTATTCACAGTGGATAAGACATGGAGACAGCCAAAGTGTCCTGAAGGAAGGGAGGGAGGGAGGGAGGGAAAGAGAAAGAAAGAAGGAAAGAGAAAGAAAGAAGGAAAGAAAGAAGGAAAGAAAGAAAGAAAGAAAGAAAGAAAAGAAAGAAAGAAAGAAAGAAAGAAAGAAAGAAAGAAAGAAAGAAAGAAAGAAAGAAAGAAAGAAAAAAGGAAAGAATTAGCTAGCAGGGGTTGGTGAGGCTGGGAAGACCTTGGAACCCTTGTGCAATGCTGGTAGGAATGTAAAATAGTGCAGCCATTATGGAAAACAGTATGGTATTTCCTCAAGATATTGAAAACAGAATTATCATATGACCCAGCAATTCCACTTCTGGATATATACCCAAAAGAATTTAAAGCAGCTTCTCAAGAGACATATTTGCACAATCATGTTCATAGCAGCCTTATTCACAATAGGCAAAGGTGGATGCAACCCAAGCATCTCTCAACAGGTACATGAATAAACAGATGAGGCATGTACATACAAAAGAATGTTATTCCGCCTTAAAAAGGAAGGGAATTCTGTCACATATTCCAACATGGATAAACTTTGAGAAAGTTTTGTGAAATGAAATAAGCCAGTCACGAAAGGGCAGATACTATGTGATTCCACTTAGGTAGTCCAAGGTAGGTACCTAGGGTAGTCCAATTCATAGAAACAAAGCAGAATAGTGGTTGCCAGGTGCTAGGGAGGAGAGGGGAATGGGAGTTGTTGGTTAATAGGTATTGAGTTGTAGTTTTGCAAAATGAAAATGCTCTGGAAATTGGTTGCCCAGCAGTATGAATATACTTAACAATACTGAACAGTACACTTCAAATGGTTAAAATGGTAAATTTTATGTTATGTGTATTTTGCCACAATTAACTAAAATATTTTATAATATAGTTCTAAAAGTATATTACACATTTATCATTTTAAGTGTGGAAGACTTTTAAACAAAACACAGGGCTCCCCATTATAAAAATTTAAATGATAAATAGATTTGACTAGGTAGATTTTAAATTTCTATGATAAAAGAAAATACAAGCGAAGTAAAAGACAAAGATAGGCTGGGGGGAAATATTTACATATGTATGTGGGGCAGTATTGATTATAAAAGAAAACTATTGTATGGGAGCAGAGAAGAGTAGTGGGTTTAGCTAGAAATAAAATGACGAAAGTCAATGAATTTAGAGGAGATACTGGGAGAAACAAACAAGATAAGTAGGAGGTTGCAGAATGTTGATGTTTTTGTAACCAAGTGGTTGAGCCAAGAACACAATCATTCAAGCAAACAGAACGGTGCAAGTACTACTCCAGACTGGCTCCATCACAGCACCCCTCCTCTCACTGACACCTAAGCACATGCAAATGCGGCCAGCCAGATCTGAGAGGCATTTGGTAAGAATCTGTGCAATGTCAAAGAATGAACTCACAGAGGGGTGCACTTGGGTTATTTATAAAAGAGTCTGGCCCTGGCCAGTTGGCCACAGTGGTCAGAGCATCGGCTTGCGGACCAGAGAGTCCTGGGTTTGATTTCTGCTGAAGGCACGTACCTCCGTGGTAGTTTGTCCCCGGCCCCACTTGGGGTTGTGTGGGTGGCAGCCAGTTGATGTGTCTCTCTCACATTGATATTTCTCTCTCTCTCTTCCCCCCTCACTCCCTCCTGTTCTATCTGAAGATAAATGCAAAAATGTTCTCAGGTGAAGATAAAAAATAAATTCAAGAAAGAATCTGCTCAAGACATTCTTGGGGTTGCAGGTCCGTAGTACTTCCTATGATGTGGTCACAGGGTAAAACAACCAAAGTGCCTCCCCCTCTTCTGCTCAGTGCCATCTCTGCTCTTGAACTCATTCTCCCAGTGATTTGGTGAGCTGACTTGGTTACTTACTATTGGTCAGCTTGCCATTGGTTGCCTTCTGTGCCTGTTGTTGCATCAATGTGAGTCCAACCCACTCAAAATATTAGGATGGGTATAAGAGAGCATTGACATTATAGGATTGCTATCTAGGATACAGAAAGACCTCCTATAAATAAATTAAACTACACAAACAATGTGCATCAAATATGAACAAAAACCACACAGGAAGAAATGGCTACATATATGAAAAGATGCATCATTTCACAAAGAATTAGGAAAATTAATTTAAAACAACAATGAAACATCATTTTCACCTATCAGACTTGCAAAACTTTAAGGAGTAGTCATATATGGTGTTGGTGAGGATGCAGAGAAATGAAGACTCCATATGCTTTTGGTCAGAATACATACTTGCAAAGTATAGTCTTCAGAGACTCAAATGCGACTTAGGCACCTCACTGTTTCAAGGCTGTTTTCTGGCAGTTCTCTCCTCTGGGGCACAATAGTGTCAATTTCATTGGAAACAGAACAATGTCATTTTCATTGGATATCCTGCTACATAATGTATTTTTACATGTAACTCTAATTTACCTGTAATTTAAACTTGTATAGTCTTGAATAATCACTGGATTAACGAATAAAATCAAAAGGAAACAAAAAATATCTCAAGACAAACAAAAACGAGAACACAATTTATGGGACGCAGCAAAAGCAGTACTAAGAGAGAATTTTATAGCAATAAATGCCTACATTTAAAAAAAGAAGAGATCTCAAATAAACAACCTAATGTTACACCTCCAAGAACTAAAAAATTAAATAAATAAATTAATTAAACTAAACCCAAAGTTGGACGAAAATAATAAAGATCAGATCGATAAAAAATATGGGGAACCAGGTAGTCATCTCAAACCTCCCCACAAAGGAAAGCCCAGGGCGAAACGGCTTCACAGCTGCATTCTACCAAACATTCAAAGAATTAATACCAATCTTTCTCAAACTCTTCTAAAAAATAGAATAAGAGAGAATACTTCCAAATTCATTTTATGAGGCAAGCATCACCCTGATACCAAAGTCAGACAATGACACCACAAGAAAAGAAAACTGCAGGCCAATAGCTCTGATGAACATCGGTTCAAAGATCCTCAATAAAATACTGTACTAGCAAACAGAATACAGCCCATCAGAAGGTTTACACACCATGACCAAGTGGGATTTATTTTTGGAATGTAAGTTGGTTCAACATACAAAAATTAATCAATGGGATACATCATATTAACAGAATGAAAGACAAAAACCACATGATTATCTCTGTAGAGGAAAAGCATTTGAGAAAATTCATCATGTATTCATGTCAAACAGTCTAAAAAATAGAAAGAAAAATGTCCTCGACACAAGAAAGACAATTCACGACGGTGCACAGCTGACGTGACCCATGCGGGAACCTGAAGGCCTTTCCTCCCAGACCCAGCTCCAGACGGGGATGCCCACTGCAGCCACATGCAGTCACTGGGAACATAAATTAAACAATACAGAAATAAAAAGAGTAAAAAGTAAAAGAACCATCACCCCCACCAATGCCATTTCCTTCCCCAGAGGTATGGTACTATCTTTCTACAGCTTTTTCTATCCGTAATCATGCACACACGAGCGCACGCACACTGACCAGGTCACACTACACACACTGCTCTGCCTCTGGCTTTTGTCACATGGTTTATCACAGACACCTCTCCATGTCCATGCGTATAAACCAACCTCACTCTTCATAATGTGTATAGTATTACATTAAATTCTAACCATTTTTTATTAGTTAACCATTCTTGGCTTTTCATAGTATGTGATCACAGCATCTCTCGTCATATAAAAAAAGAAAACTTAATTTTATTGTCTTTTTTTCAACAGCTGGAGTATCCAGAACAATGTGAAATGATTGTAGTGACAGAAGGAAGCCTGTGTCCCTAACTTTAATGAGAAAGTCTTTAGAGTAAATTTTAATGTTATCTGTAGGGTTCAGATTTGTTTTATCATGTTAATAAAGTGCCTTTGTTCACTAATAGTTTGTTATCCTCACCCCAGGACATTTTTCCATTTATCTTCAGATAGAGTGAGAAGGAGGGAGGGGGGAAGAGAGAGAGGGAAACATTGATGTGAAAGAGACACATCAACACATCCAGTGGTTGCCACCCACACAACCCCAACCCGGGCCAGGGACAAACTGCAACCGAGGTACGTGCCCTTAGTGGGAACCGAACCCGGGACTCTGGTCTGCAGGCTGACGCTCTAACTGCTGAGCCAAACTGGCCAGGGCAGTTTGTTTGTTTTTTAATCAGGATGAATGTTGAAGTTTTCAATGCCATGTTGGCATCTGTTGCAATGATAATAAGCCTTTCCTCTTGAGACACATTGATAGAATTAATTGTATTAATAGATTTCCTACTATTAAAACATTTTTGTACTCATGGTTTTGGTGGATTTTTTTTTAATATTATACTAAATTAAATTTGATAATGTTTCTATTAAGATTTTCATATATGAGATTGTGATTGGCCTGTCTTTTTTCTTTGTTAATTAGTTTGTTTTTGAAGCTCGACTTTCAGCTTACTTCCAAAAACCCTTTCAATTCTCAGGAGTACAACACAAACAGCTTTGATGTTTATCAGATCAGTTTCCTCTTCCTGGGAACACAGCTAAACCACATCACCAGCCCCTTGCGTGTGACTATGACTGTTCCCACCAAAGGCCAGGGCACAAAAGTGATGATAAGTATGTTCAAAGCAGAAGGGCCTTTTTTTTTTCTTTCCTTCTCTCTCTCTCTCTCTCTCACACACACACACACACACACACACACACACACACAGTCCATCATCTTTTCCCAGGCTGTTCCCTGTAGCAATTCTCAGCACTAGAATGGGGGGGGGGGGTAGGGGCGGAGTTTGCCAAATTCAGATGCCAGGGATCACTTCAGACCAGTTTATTCATCCAAATCTCTTGGGGTGGAATCTGCCAGGTGTCCTTTTTAAAGTTTCTCACATGGTTCCAACATGCAGTCAAGATTGAGAACCCCTGGTCCAGCTGCACGTGCCCCCAACATATGGCCCATGCCCATACCAATCCAACAGAAGCAAGCAGCGGGACTACAACGGCCTCACAGCCTCGGCCCCTTGTCCTTGTCCTGGGGCCCGTCTTCTAGGCCAAGGAACCTAGGCGGGAAGTTGGCAGGGAGCAGGGCAGCCGCACAGGGCCCTGGGGCCTCTGCGCAGTGAACCGAGCTCCCTCCACCCCCCACTGCAGTTTGAGGAGATCCACGAGCTGATGGCGCGCTACAAGACGCTGGTGAGCATGCACTCCGACCTCATGCAGTCGGCGCAGGAGGGCCAGGAGAAGATCGAGCGTGCCAAGGCGCGGCTGGCCCGCTACATGGAGGAGAAGGACGATGAGGTCCTGCAGCACAACAACGAGCTGGCGCGCCTGCAGATGCGCTTCGACCGCGCCCGCAGCGACGTCATCATCTGGGTGAGGGGTGGGTGGCACAGGGACACATGCACGCAGGGCGCACACATGTTTGCTGCGCTCACATCCCTTCCTCATCCCCTCCCCAGGAATCTCGCTGGGCACACATCCAGAACACCGCTGCCAAGAAGACCCTCTTGCTCGGCACCATTAAGATGGCAACACTGAACCTCTTCCAGATCGTGAGCAAGCAGCTGAAGGAGACAACCGAAGTGTCCCTAGAGGACACGCACAAACAGCTGGACATGGTAAGAGGAGACGCAGGTGCAGGTTGGGCTGTATCCACTGAGCCAAGATGGTTCTTGATTGGTTGAGTGGATGAACCGGATGGAGCCACGGTCCTCAGATGTTAACAGGATCAGAATCATCAAAGTCTGGGGAGCATTGCTGGGTCCCACTCCCAGAGTCTCTTTCTCAGTAGGTCTGAAGTGAGAAGCCATGAATTTCCATTTTCAACAAGTCCCTGGTGCTGGTGCTGGTCTGGGTTCCACACTTTGAGAACCAGGGCATTAGAGCTAAGACCCTGTGGGCCCCAGTCATCTCGGATGGTGGCAGGGACCCACTATTGAATCCATTGTGCAAAACAGTCTTATTAGTCTAATAAGTTCCTGGAGGCTTATGCCTGAGGCCCACTCTTGGGGAAGAGAGACTATTGGTGAGGGAGAAGGGAGGTAACTCAGCAAGTTCAGGGAAATCTTAGAGTCTATTAGTCCCTATCTGAGATTTTCTCTTTGAATTAACCAAAAGGAAATAACTTCTTCAAAGCTGCATGATGCCAGGTCCATGTTCCACCTAAAATCATCTCACTTCTGACCAAAGGTGAACACACCCCATAATTTGAGAGACTCCGTATCAGCAGGTGAATTTGCCGTGCTTCTTGTGACATGCAGAGAACCACGACAATTTGTTTGTTCCTTTGGCAAAGTCTTTAGATCTTCTGTGAAAGGGTGGAAAGTGAGCTCCTGAAAACTGATTTTTGTTTTGTTCCCGGCTGTGTCCCCAGAGTCTGGCACAATGCCTGCCTCACAGCGGGCGCTTGATAATATTTGGAGACTGGAGATCAAACACAACCCCACAGAGCAACCGGCTGAGAGGCACTTCCCCTGTTTACCAACAACAACCGGGAAACTCATGAAATGTAAAGGATTTCACCCACTGACCAGCCAGGAAGAAGGGTTTCCCTGAACCAAAAAATCTGCCTGCTTCTTAAGGCATGTTAGGGCAGAACTGTTGACAGACCAAAGACTCTTACGGGAATTTGTAAGTTTCTTTTGAAGCAGCAATTCTCAGACTTTTTTTTATCCTCACGCGAGGACATTTTTGCATTTATCTTTAGATAGAGCGGGAGGGAGAGGTGGGGAAGAAAGAGAGAAACATGGATGTGAGAGAGACACATCAACTGGTTGCCACCCACACGGCCTTGGACCCAACCAAGGCCCGGGACAAACTGCAACCGAGATATGTGCCCTTAGCAGAAACCAAACCCCGAGTCTCTGGTCCGCGGGCCGGCACTCTAATCGCTGAGCCAAACTGGCCAGGGCAATTCTCAGACTTTTTTGGCATCAGGATACCTTTACTCTCTAAAAATGCATTGAAGACCCTCACAGAGCTTCTGTTTATATGGGTTACATTTATTGTTATTTACCATATTAGAAACTCAAACAGAAAACCTAAAAATACTTAATTCTTTTCATTTTCAAATGACAAGAGGCAAATGAACATAAATAGCATTTTTAATGAAAAGTACATTTTCAAAAATCTTTGGGGGGTGAGTGGAGTTATTTGACATGTTTACAAATTCCCTTGATGTCTGGCTTCATAGTGGACAGGCGGGTTCTCCTGCCTGCTTTCACACTCACTCTGTGTGACAGCCCATGTCATGGAAACATTCTACTCTGCTAAAAGCCACTGTTCACTCATCAGAGCATAAGAGCAAAATAATAATAAAGATAATAATAATAAAATCTTAGATTGTCCAAAGAGCGTTGGCCCTGCAGCCTCTCCCCCAGCAGTGGGTCTCGGGGACTCCCGGAGGTCCTCAGGCCCCTTCCTTCAGCTGCTGTTAAGATGGGGGGGCAGGAGGTGTGAGCTCCCGCTGCTGCCCTGCCTGCATTCCCTGCTGAGACCATGGCTTCCAGTGTATCCACCCAGAACTGTGAGCTTTCTGACTCCCTTTCAACCTTGATCTGCCTCTGCAGGAATGCTTAATATCGCCCAAATGTTATTTTAAACTATCCCGCTTCATTCCCATAAGATAGGAGTCTACTGAGGGAAATTGAGTAGTCTGAAAAATAAAAAATAAGGACCAGGAAAAATATAAGCTAAAATCTGAGGTCAGGGCAAGAGAGAGAAATAAAGACTGTAGATCCTTGTATTATAAAGAGCAGTAGTTGGCTCTGAGCTTCCTGGTGACCAGAAGGAAAAGCAACACATAGTTCTGGTACCAAAACATAAGTTTTCCTCAGAGAAAACAAACCGTTTCCAGCACTTTAATTTCTCGAGGAAGCTTCAGAGACACTAATCAACAATGCTCTCAACAAATCCCCACAACAGATCCCAGCATGGGTTTTGGGAACCTCTTACTAGAACTAGGAGCCCAGCACCATAGTACAACTTCGGACAATTGATTCTGCGAAGGGCCAGGACAGTTAGAATTCCATCTACTGTGTTGTTAACGCCCAGCATTACCCCTGAAAAAAGCCCAAACTGTCTGGAGCAGCATTTTCCAAACTGGGCTTGGAAAATCCTAGAATCCCAAGATGTTAGTAAGTTTCCTATGGAGGAATAGAAGGACTCTATGGATTAATACATTTAGAAAACTCTGCAGTTAAACGAAGTTGGATACTTTGCAAGGTTCTGTCCTGAGACTCTCTAAGCAGATTCAATATAATTTATCTTTAGTTTAATGTTTCTGAAACTTACTTGACTACTGGATCCTTTGGGGGTGGGGTGAATTATGTGATTACTTATTATAAGAACAAAGTTTGGGAAATGCTGGGTTTGTCTTCTCTGTGACCTTGGGAACGTTACCTTAATTCACTGACCCTTTGTTTCCTCTTCTGCAAAACAGGAGTCACATCAGTAATAGTACAGCTTTTGCTACTGACAGAGTTGTTGAGATTTTTAGATGATCTATGTAGTCCTAACTCCAGAAACATTCTTGAAAAGGAGAAGTTTTAGAACTGAGATCTTAGAGGTCATCTAGACTAGCCTTTCCCCCTCTACCCTTTTTAAAGATGAAGGAACTGAATCCCAGAAAGGTGACGTGATTCCCCAGAGCTCCATCAGGACCCCAGGTCTTCCCACCTGTGAGGCAGCACTGTTTCCTACCGGTTACCGGTTCTTCAAAACAGAAGCCAGCAAATGGAATTCAAACTTCCTGCATGACTCAAGATTAGCATAATGAGCATCAGGTCTGGGATTCAGGTCAACGACCACCTTAGAGGTTATGAAATTGTGGAGAGCCATCTGCCCGACACCAGCTGGACCCTGCCTGCTACATGCTTCTAGTCCCCGGTGTGCTCAGGGTCCTCTCTCTTCTCCTTTAGTCAGACTGTCAGCCTGTACTTCATCCCATCTCGGTGTCTGTTTCTAGGAGTTCCTACTCCATTGGTAGGTATTGCTTTTAGTCTAGAAAGCCTGATCCTCCATGTCAACTAGAATAATTGTCAGATGAGGGGACGTGGCTTCAGGAGTCAGTCACAGGAAAACGGTGACTCCTGGACATGCTCTGTCTGTGGATGCAATGGCCTGTCGCAGGGTCGGGTTAACTCTGGTCCCCTTGCCTCGTTAGATCCAGCAGTTCATCCAGGACCTGACAGACATCTGGGCAGAGGTGAAGAAGAAGGACCAACAGCAGATCCGGGTTTAAGGAGCAGCCATGAACAGAGATGGAGAGAGAAAGTCCCTGGTGAGCTTGCAGTTGGTCACCCAAGGCCAGCGCTCGGAGACCCCCATGCCGTCCTGCTAGCAGGCACCCTGCCATATTTCCCCTTGGGCCTCAGCCCATCCGCCGCTGAAAACATTAAATTCTATAAGAAGTTTGTTCCTAAGTTCTCATTTTGGTTGTTTATTCAAGGGGAAAAGGGTCTACTAAGGAAAGAACCCCCCAAAGTACCCCCACTTAAAGCTGGTCACTGATGCTGCCCAGGGTATAGAAATCAAATCTCAGGTGCAGTGTCTCCTAGGCTTCGGACTCGCACACAGTAAGTATTCACGTGGGCAGCAGGCCACGCGGGGTAAGTACACGGGACCATTTTTCCTCTGCCATTTCAAAGAAAATGTTCAAGTTGGTGTTTCCAATTGGGGTGTAGACTCTGCTCACTAGAAGCTATGAAGGCAGCTTCACAAGTCAGAGTTCCAACCCTTCCCTGACCTTGGAGGCAAGCCCTGCCCCCACCCCCACCCCCACCCCCACCCCCGTGAACCCTAACACTAGAACGTGGTCCACGCTAGTGCGGGACTGGCAGGCAGGCTGCCAAAGGACAGCCCCTGGGCAGGCTGGGACAATGGCTCAAAACCAGCAAACTAAGCGGAGGACGGGTCGATGGAAAGTCTTACACTTAGGGTCAAAAACTCAGTTACACGTTTCTAAATCGGCACTGACAAAAGTCAGGCCAGAGGTGGAGCACACACGTAATGCTCATCATCCCAGTGAAAACTCTGTGCGGCACTGCTGTTCCTGTCGTACTAGAAGGCCACTTGCCCAAGGACACTGGTACAGATGACAAGGTCAGAATTCACACTGGGTCTGCCTCCCTGAGCCCGGGCTCAGGCTGCCTTGCAGAAGACAGAGACACTGCTGCTGCCCCCACCAAAGAAGGCTGAGGATCCGGCCTGGGACCCCAGAGGGCCTGCAGGGATCCCCATCACCTCTCGGCGCTGCTGCACCCTACCCCTCTGGGTTCCTGCCGTGGGCAGCGGTACCCCTCATCTTGGCCCACACCGCCATGTACAGCAGGCTTCTCAACATGGCTTCTGGACCAGCGGCATCCGCATCACCTGGGAACTTACTAGAAATGCAAATTCTCAGGCCCTACCCAGACCTGAGAATCAAAAACCCTGGGTGGGCCCCAGCCATCGGCTTTTAACAAGCCCTCCAGGTCACTCAGACACACGCTCCGCTCTGAGAACCAGTTTCCTAGTGAACCAAACACTCCAGGACCCGGGCTCCCTTCACCCCCCCCCCCCCCCCCGTGTGAAGTAACACATGTCGGGAACACGGGTCTCAGACCGCGGCTGTCAGAGGAGCAGAACCGCAGGGGCAGAGATGGACCTCTCTCTAGACCCACAGAATTTCCTCTGCCCTGCTCCTGGGCTCCTTTGGAAACCTGAAACATACAGCAGTCTCAGAGCGAGCTCTGTGACAGGGAGTTGACCTTGGGCGGTGTGGGTGCTGGTTGAGCACTCTCTGCAAAGCTGTGGTCTTCACATCTGACGCTGGACCTCGAAGCCACCGCGGGAGGTGGTTGGGAAAGAAATATGGATGTAAAGTGGGGGAGATCAAGAGTGAGGCAGAGCCCTGGCCGGTTTGGCTCAGCGGTTAGAGCGTCGGCCTATGGTCCAGAGAGAGTCGGGTTCGGTTCTCACAAAGGGCACGTACCTCGGCTGCAGTTTCTCCCTGGCCCTGGTTGGTTGTGCGGGTGGCAGCCACTTGATGTGTCCCTTTCACATTGATGTTTCTCTCTCTCTTCCTCTCTCTCCCTCCCACTCTATCTGAACAAGAAATGAAAAAATATGTCCTCAGGTGAGGATTTAAAAAAAAAAAAGTGAGGCAGAATCCATAGCACAAGCTGGGGACAGACAGAAACCCAGGGCAGTTCTTGTCACTTCCGAACTGGGCATGTGTCCTGCAGCCAGCAGGCCCCTCCCCTGGGAGCTGAGCACCACCCCCTGCAGCCCCTGGAGGAGCAGAAGGGCCAGCAGCTGCCTCCCCCAGGGGAGGTGATGGGTGAGCCCACCCCCCACCCAGCAGCAGCAGAAGGTGTAAGCGACCCAGCACTGCCACTTCACCCCCAAACCTCCCGCAGCCAGAGTTTCTGTGAACTCCACCCCCACCTTGTGGAGACTCCAGGAGAGGGAGTTCCGGGAAATACAGTCCAGCCTAGCCCAGCCGCCACGTCCCCAGGCCTGCACATGCCACTGTCTGCTCCAGGGGTGAGGAAAGGAGGGGACGACTGGTAGGCTGGGGCCAAGGGCGCTCTCTCTGAAAGGGTAGAGGAGGGGCAAGTTCTAGGGGTAGTGCTGAGGGGAATAGGTAGACTCCCTGGAAGGAGACCAGGGCCTTTCAGAAACTGGTTTGTGGGTAAAGGATATGCCTCTAAAGTAGTTTCCCTTTATCTTTGAGCCTCCTGGGCTGCATCCTGAGATGCAGGAGAGGGCGCGGGACAGAAGGTTCCCCAAAGCCCCTGTGTCTCTGAAGTGACATTTGAGGAGTCCAACCTGTAAAGAGTGAACACAGTTCCTGGGAGGCTGTGGTCCCACATCTTTTTTTTTCCTTTCTTTTAATCTTTATTGTTGAATGTATTACAGATGTTCCTCATTTTTCCCCCATTGACCCCCTCCTCCCTACTCCTGCCCCCTCCTGCCTTTTCCCACAATGTTGTCTGTATCCACTGGTTATGCATATATGCATATAAGTTTATTTCTTCCCACTCCCCAATTCCCCTCCCCTTTCAGGTTTGTCGATCTAGCAACCAATTTGTGCCTTTTTTTTTTTTTTTTATCCTCACCCGAGGACATTTTTCCATTTTTTGTTGAGATAGAGTGAGGAGGGAGAGAGAGAGAGAAAAACATCGACGTGAAAGGGACACATCGAGTGGCTGCCACCTACACAACCCAACCAAGGCCAGGGACAAACCACAACCGAGGTACATGCCCTTAGTGGGAACCGAACCTGGGTCTCTCTGGACTGCAGGCCGACACTCTACTGACAGCCTAATGGGAATTCCCTGGTAGGTAACTAGCTGCCTTTCTCTTGCTGCTTTTAAGATTCTCTCTTTGTCTTGAACCTTTTGCATTTTAATGATGATGTGTCTTGGTGTGGGCCTCTTGGGGTTCATCTTATTTGGGACTCTCTGTGCTTCCTGGACTTGTATGTCTGTTTCCTTCACCAAGTTAGGAAAGTTTTCTGCCATTATTGTTTCAAACAGGTTTTCAATTTCTTGTTCTCGCTCTTCTCCTTCTGGCACCCCCAAGGTGCGAATGTTGGCACGCTTGAAGTTGTCCCAGAGGCTCTTTACACTATCCTCATTTTTCTGAAATTCTTTTTTTCTTTTCGGTGTTCTGATTGGGCATTTTTTGCTTCCTTATATTCCAAATCGATGGTTTGCTTCTTGGATATACGTACTCTACTATTGGATCTGTGTAAATTATTCTTTATTTCAGTTAATGCCTTCTTCATTTCTGACTGTGCATCCATCATTTCTGACTGGTCCTTTTTTATGCTCTTGAGGCCCTCACTAAGTTCACTGAGGTTCTCACTAAGTTCATTGAGCATTCTTATAAGCAGTATTTTGAACTCAGCATCTGCTAGGTTGCTTATCTCCATTTCGCTTAGTTCTTTTCTTGGGGTTTTGTTCTGTTCTTTCATTTGGGACCTGTGTTTGTTTCTGTGTATATCTTAACGAGCAGTATGGGGCTAGTTAAGATGCTGAGACCACATGCTGCTTTTTTGAAAGAATTAGGAAAAACCTGAAGCAGGATCCAAGACAGGCCAATCCTATGGTTAAGCAAGTGGCAACAGCTTGGGTGGGCCTGAAAGTTGGGTGGGGCGGGGCAGTGCCTCAGGGAGTCACCAGGGCGGGGCTACCAGGTTGCTGGAGTACCAGGTATGGCGACTGTCTGCCGACCCAGGGAAGGGCTCACCAAAGGAACAAAGGCCTCTGACAGCACATCTGTCCCGGAGAAAGCCCCCTCTCCAGCCCTCGCTCCAGTGCCAAACAGCTCAGTTCTTCCCTGTATGTCTCTGGTGCCCCTCGAGCTGCCTCCCCTCCAAGCTTAGAGGGAGAGAGTCCGATAAGTCCGTGCGCGGGCCCTTTAAGGAGCTGCCTGGGGCTCCAGCCGCCTCAGCTTCCCTGAGCCTCAGTTCCCGCTGGTTTTTCCAGCCAGAAGTTATGGGGATTCTCTTCCTGGCACTGGAACCCTGAGCGGGACACCTGGTGTGGGACGGGGACCCCTCAGTCCTCAGGAAGGACCTTCCCAGCTGAGGTGTCCTCCTGATTTTGTTTGTTTGTTTAATCCTTACCTGAGGACATTTTTTCCATATTTTGTTCAGATAGGGTGGGAGGGAGTGAGAGAGAGACAGAGAAATATCGACGTGAAAGGGACCCAGATCTCTCCGGACCGCAGGCCGACGATCTAACCACTGAGCCAAACCGGCCAGGGCCCTCCTGATTTTTATCTGCCACATGTGGGTGTGGGATCAGCCTGTCGCGCCTCCGCCCTCCTCCCAGTCTGGATGCGGCTGCTGCTTTAATTTTGTAGTTGTAGGACTACCATTCAGCTTGATTTCAGGCGGTTTTGAACAACGGTTGTTCTGTAGTTTGTTCTGTAGTTTGTAACTTTGATGTGGGTGTGGGAGGATACGATACTGTGTTTACCTACGCTGCCATCTTGACCGGAAGTCCTAAAGTATTCTTTATTTCAGTTAGTGCCTCCTTCATTTCTGACTGTGCATCCTTCATTTCTGACTGGTTCTTTATTATGCTCTTGAGGCCTCACTAAGTTCACTGAGCATCCTTATAAGCAGTATTTTGAACACAGCATCTGTTAGGTTGCTTATCTCCATTTCACTTAGTTCTTTTCTTGGAGATTTTTTCTGTTCTTTCATTTGGGACCAGTTTCTTTGTCACCTCATTTTGGCTGCAAATG